TCTCACGAAATTACAAATTATACAACTCATGAATACAGTGATAGCGCACAGTTTAGTTTTGCCAAAACTAATGAAAAAGCACTCAATTTTTGTGGCAAGTATTTGCAAACAATTATTGAGTTCAGAGAAAGAGTTGAATTGCAAACAAATTCTCTCTATTATGAAGACTAATAAATCAATAGACGACTCGTTTGCCAAAAGCACTCTTTATAATGAATGTCTGAATAAAACATTATCTCATTTCGAAGATGACATTCGATTGGATTCGCTGTCATTGATCATTGAATGCCGAAAAACTACTCAATTATTAGACACGAAAGCCTTGCAATTAATTAGACAATCAATTGTCTATAATATGAATTGTCAGCAGAGCTCAAGTCGCCAGAGATTTATTGCATTGATTCAAAAACTTTTTCAACGACTTGTTGATAGTTTAAAGTCGTGTTCAAAGGATTCAAATCATAACACACTTCAAGTAGAATATAATAATTTTATTGATTTTGTTATTAAATTATGTTTTCAAGATTTACGGAAAGGAGACTATTTTGTAACAACTCTCACGAAATTACAAATTATACAACTCATGAATACAGTGATAGCGCACAACACTACACTCTTTCCTATATTTCAAACAATTGATTTCAATTCATATTTTGAAGATTTGGTTAAAATTATTAGTGATTCATACGAAGATAATAAAGTGATTTCCATTGAAATAATAGTATATTATTTTAAATCAAACTTTTTGTCTATTACTGAAACCCAATTAAATGAGGTGAAAGACATCGCGCATACATTGGCCGGAAGTGCCACTCCGGGCCACTCTATAACTGCTGCCCATCTCTATAGACTTATTGCAAAGATTGAAGTGATAAATAATAAATGCAAAAACGATGTCATCTATAAAATGATGAATGAATTAAGCGAAGAGATCGACAGTTTGATGAGTTGTGTTCAAACAAATGTAGTCATCTCTGCGGCTAAGTATCCGTTGTATACAAAGCTTTCGTGCATCGGATCGCTTGCCTGTGAAGTGGACTTCAGATCGATCAGTGCCTTAAATATCCAATTATGGAAACAATTGATTGGGAAAGTGATTGATTTGTGTTATAAGTGCAGCGATTCAGTCAATTACATTGTGTGCAACGACTCGCCGGAGGGATATTTGCCAATGGATTGTCATTTAGTGACACAAGAATTTATTGCAAAACTATTGAATCTATCGCTTGAATACATCTGCGAAGAGAAAGTATCGCACATAACATCTCAGTTGTTACTCTTAAATGGATGGAAAACTATTAAAGAGAGCGCTTGGCTTTTGACTAAATTGTCTCAAATTGCAAATGAATGTGACTTTCATTGTTCTAACGATAAGTCAATTATTGATTGCAACCAAACCATTACTACAATTGAGTTCTTGTACAACAATCTAATGGCACTCAAACATAGGGGCGCTTTCGAGCAAACGGCCGCTGCTTTCACTCAATTAATTGCCACCGTTTGGCACAACAAATGCATTTGTTCTGCAAGAGTGGTCCAAATTCTGGACTCAATTGTCGATAACTTAAACGATAGACAACAGACTGCTATCACCGGATGTTTAACCCGTCGTTCAGCGGGTCTTCCATTTGTTATTCAGGCAATACTTAGTGGCGAAATTGTGTGCAACGACTCGCCGGAGGGATATTTGCCAATGGATTGTCATTTAGTGACACAAGAATTTATTGCAAAACTATTGAATCTATCGCTTGAATACATCTGCGAAGAGAAAGTATCGCACATAACGTCTCAGTTGTTACTCTTAAATGGATGGAAAACTATTAAAGAGAGCGCTTGGCTTCTGACTAAATTGTCTCAAATTGCAAATGAATGTCACTTTCATTGTTCTAACGATAAGTCAATCATTGATTGCAACCAAACCATTACTACAATTGAGTTCTTGTACAACAATCTAATGGCACTCAAACATAGGGGCGCTTTCGAGCAAACGGCCGCTGCTTTCACTCAATTAATTGCCAGCGTTTGGCACAACAAATGCATTTGTTCTGCAAATCACCAGGTTTAAGACCTGAGTTAACAGCTATTGAATTTGCTATCTGTTGTCTGACGATAGTGGCCTACAAATTGGGCAGCAAGTCGCCCAGAAGGTAAACAATAAGTCCGTTATGAATCACCGCTTCCATCTCTTCATAACCATAAATACTTTAATCGAGTGATGACTCAACTCTTGAATATTCTGTCCGATGAGAGCTCTAAAGAGTGGCAAACAATTCATTGTCTGAATATAATCCGAGCGCTCATTAGAGACCACCGCATGTCAGACAAGATTAACCCATTTATTGAACAATCCGTGAAAATATGTTTTTCAAAATTTAAATCTAAATCATTTACAATTCGCAACTCATCGGCAATGCTTTGTAATTGTCTTTTGACTAAAATATTTGGTGTCAAACGAAACAAAGAGGACACGAGTAAGAAGAATAGGATGTCTTCCTATCTATTCTTTACATACTATCCATCTCTTTATGACTTTTTACTGAAAGAGATCGCTATTTGCTGTCAATTTGAAAAACTTGGACACAACTCTCCCACTAATTATTTACATCTAGAATGCCTTCCTTTATATCCTTTACTTCTAATACTTTCAAAGTTAATGCCGACAATCAATACAAAGATTACACATAATATGAATGAATTTTTACCATTTTTGAAGACTATATCTCTAAATTGTCCACATTTTAAACTTCGTGTTTTATCAGCCAAAGTATTCGCACAATTAGTACACGAATCAGAAGTTGAGTTTCAATTGAATGAAACATTTAATCAATTGATTCATTCAACTAATGTTTCTGAGAATAACTTTCACGGAATATCTCTAATTGTGAATCAACTCATTCTTATGGCAAACACATCTCAACCCCAATTTGTTTCTGCATTTGAAAAGCACTTTGTAGTGTCCAAACATTTTTCATGTTATTCTTCGTATCAATTCATTCATACGATTGAAATTTTATCTGCTAATCAAATGTTAACACCAACTCAAAAGCAAACCTTCTTAAGATTACTTTTATCTGAATTAAATTCAGATAATCAACAATTCCTAACAATAACCGATGAATATATCGTATATTTAACTCGAAGTATAATTTCGTGTTTGAATTCAATTGATGATCAAACTAATTTTTTTAAACAATTATTTCTATGCGAAAATTATAAATGTTTTGAAGCAAAACTAATAGCTTTAAAAGTGATTATAAATTCGGTGTTAATCGATAACAAGACGTCCTGTGATTTAATCGAAGAAATCTCATACGAAAGTGTATTTTCTGTGCCTTCTATTCATTTGACTAATATTAAGCAATTAATAACTGACGCAAAATTGTATGAAATATTATTATCATCGCATGAGTAACACGAATCAGAAGTTGAGTTTCAATTGAATGAAACATTTAATCAATTGATTCATTCAACTAATGTTTCTGAGAATAACTTTCACGGAATATCTCTAATTGTGAATCAACTCATTCTTATGGCAAACGCATCTCAACCCCAATTTGTTTCTGCATTTGAAAAGCACTTTGTAGTGTCCAAACATTTTTCATGTTATTCTTCGTATCAATTCATTCATACGATTGAAATTTTATCTGCTAATCAAATGTTAACATCAACTCAAAAGCAAACCTTCTTAAGATTACTTTTATTTGAATTTAATTCAGATAAACAACAATTCCTAACAATAACCGATGAATATATCGTATATTTAACTGGAAGTATAATTTCGTGTTTGAATTCAATTGATGATAAAATTAATTTTTTTAAACAATTATTTCTATGCGAAAATTATAAATGTTTTGAAGCAAAACTAATAGCTTTAAAAGTGATTATAAATTCTGTGTTAATCGATAACAAGACATCCTGTGATTTAATCGAAGAAATCTCATACGAAAGTGTATTTTCTGTGCCTTCTATTCATTTGACTAATATTAAGCAATTAATAACTGACGCAAAATTGTATGAAATATTATTATCATCGCATGAGTTCAAACAATTGGTACGGAATGTCATTAGTGTTCAGACAACTGGTGACTATACAAATGTCAAAACTTTTGGTGCAGTTTCCGATGCTTTTGTAGCCGAGGTTTTTAGATTTATTTATTACATATCAACTAACTATTCAATTGATTTGATGTCGATGTTTAAATTTATAAAAACATTTGACGGCATACTTGTCGATGAATTGACATTTTTAATGAATGCCTTTGATATAAGTGGTGATGAAGACACCAAGTGTTGCATTCTCTTAATAAGTAGTCTATTTATAGTGGACTTTATGCCTACAATTTCTAAACAATTTTTTAATGATAAATTATTTGAGAAATGGTGTCAAATAGTTGTCAGCTTTTCTTCGGACACCACGAATATATTGAGACGAAAAATTGTTGTCAAGATTTTGAGAAAATCGTTTAATGTAATCACAAAAGAGATTACAAACAATGAAAATACAATCCCTTTATGGAAAGCATTGATTAATTTGATTGAAGACAATGATGTGGACATCAGAAGACAGGCCGTTCAGATTGTCGTCTCATTAACCGAAGGAAATGAATTGATTGTTCCGAAGAGAGCCCTTGAGTTGTGTTTACAGCAATTCTCGAGTTATATGTCATTCAATACCATTTCATGTGTCTATCATTTGTCGAGATTTATGATTGAACTGAAAGAAGACGCGGAATGCGATGACAATGAGGAGAGACTCTTCGATAGGAGTAAACTCAATATTTATGCCGATTCTGTACTTTTGGCTCACATTATATCAAATCAATTAGAAATTATTCTCCAATCAAAAGATATTCATTTAAATGACTTAAAGCTTCCGTTAAATGAATTGATGGAAACGTCTCGAAACAAACACTTTACGACAAATGAAGCAATCAATCATTTATTGCTTCATTTGTCTGATGATAATATATCTGATTTAAGACAACATTTTCTCGATTCCGATTGTGAATACAATTTATTTACAAAATCAATTAAATGCAAACTAATCCACACATTGATTAAGACAACTATTAATAGTCTTCAATCAAATACATAACACGTTTACTTGCATTCAAACATTTGAAACATGAATTGTCTTTAATTATATTACCAGTACACTTTTAATATCATATTAACTTATAATCCGTTTAAAGTCAAGTCCCAGCATATAATGGATAGAATATCTGGACTAGAATTACATAGAATTGTTTGAAACTATTTTGAATAAAATCTAAATTTATATTTAAGATAAAAAATAAAAACTTTGCGAATATTTCCGATTAATAATCAATTGAATCAATAGAATAATTGGAATGTTATTAACATGGTTAACATTATCAGCATGGTTATTATGGTTAGCATTGAGTGTCTAATCATTGAATTTTCGGTTCACATTACGGCCGAAGAGAGCGGTTCTCATTTCAGGCAACAATTGCTGACTAATCAGTTCCAGACGACTCTCCAGAGTGTTTGTCACTTTGGTTTTGCCCTTATTTGTAATCAGTTCCACTCCACCACAACTGTACGCAACAGAATCCAAAGGTCAAAGGTTATGTCAAGTTTGAGTCTATGGTTGGCATACCTGTCCGATGCAATGAAGTTATCGTTGTCTAACTTCAACTCCACGTCCCGACCGGTGGCATCCTTGTACTCCTGAGCCGATAAACTCAACACATTCTGCACGAGACGGATGTCTTGTTGTCGACAACGAATGATCACTTGTTTCTCCAAGAGTTGAAACAAACCCTTTGGTTACCAAACATATCATTGAATACAACATTCAATTCGTAGTGCAAAGCAATGCTAGACCTGAGAGATAAGTTTCTGAAGAACCTTCTGATACAAGTTGTGATCTTTGGTCACTTCGAGGAGCTTATGTCGCGCCTCTTCGGCCACATTGCGGATGTGCTCCTCACGAGACTTCAAGACCTTAAGTCGCGCCCCGTTTTGCATATGACTGTTCTGACTGTCAGGACATCAGGACATCAATAGATAGCATATATTAGTCACTCGTATATCACATAAAATGGTTAATATCTGAGACATTCTCCTCTGGAGCTCCACTTGTTTCTCCTTCTTCTCGTAGAAGTCCATTATCTTCAGCCTCTGTTCGGTCACGAGTCGACCCTTTTCTATATTGAATTCCTCCTCAGCCTTGGCGTCGATCTCTTCCGCCTTTTCATTGGCCTCTTGTTCTATGAAAGCCATCATATGTTTGATCTGAACAATGGATCCAATGTTACCATTCATTCACATGTAATCACATCATGTCTTAAATACCTGTTTCTGAACGTCTGCGTCACTCAAAGCCATTTTGGATCAGTTGATGGTTTATGGGTTACTTCACTTCAATGCAAATGACAGACAATTACTAAATGTGTTTCGGATGTGATTTAAATGACAATTAAATCGCTAAACGAGTCAATCATTAGCTGTAATGAGAGGCAAATGACTGCAATTAATGGGCGTTTAATGCATTGATTAGACCTATGATTACAACAACCAGTGAAGCACTGAATGTACAGTAATTTCGTCCAACAATGCACTCACTGTTGGTTTGTTAGACCAACAGAATATTCTGTTCATTCATTGAATCACAGAATATATTCATTTTAATACAGTATTACACTTGTTTTGTCTAACTTTTATTCAATCCTTATATCGTATACCAAATTATTTCACTTAAAATTCAAACTTTCTTTTTCTATTAAAATGTTTTTATTCATAAGCGTGTCTTTGAATTAATTTTATTATTAGTCTATTTAATACACATTATTAATATTTTTATTAAATCATAGCAATACTCAAACTTTAATGTTCAATAAGAGCATTGATTTAATTGAGTATATGTTTAGAATAATAAAATTGTTATTTAAACAATATTTTAAAATAAATAATGTCATTCTATAAAATAATTATAAATGTATCCTACTTATTAAATGAGAATGTAATAATTTTAAAAATATTATTGTCAATTATTTTCTTAAAATACTTTCGTATTATTTTGGTATAAATTGTAAATCAAATAAATATTTTAACAGTTATGTTCCCTATTATACTGCAGTACATTGTATCAATATTTTTTCGATACTGTATAATAAAATATAAGTTCTTAGATAAATTAAGTAACCTTGACCATTTTATCAGACAGTACTACTCTTACAGGTATTATAGTGCTCTTATGTGCTGTATTAACTAATTAAAAAATAAAATATTATTTTTGCAAAATAATGAAATAATTGTCGAGTTATTTGACTAACAATTCAATATTGACACAAAACACAGCAAAAGGAAATGAATGAATGAATGAATGAATGAATGAATGAAAAGTTTGTACGCTTTTGGTTGGAGTGAAGGGAAACTGAAGCAATCAAAGTGACTGACAGTACGAGTGCTGCAAACGCTATAATACGCTATTTTGTCACCAAATATAATATTTACAAATAATTATAGTCAACACATATGCTGTTACACTATAGAGGGGGTGTGGGATTACAACATTGTTACTTTACTTATTGAGTCAATATTATTGACATAATGTTAGGGTTATGTAAATATAATGTTTATAATAGATAACAGTATTTGTGATTATTATATAAGCAATGAGTAGTGATTGCAGTGAGTGTTGACATGAATTGAATTGGATTTACAGTGAAATGANTGTTCAGATCAAACATATGATGGCTTTCATAGAACAAGAGGCCAATGAAAAGGCGGAAGAGATCGACGCCAAGGCTGAGGAGGAATTCAATATAGAAAAGGGTCGACTCGTGACCGAACAGAGCGACTTCTATTACCTGAAGATGCTCTTCTTCCTCTTTGTTCACCTCGAGGTCTCCTCTTACAGAGTCTATAATTGGTAAAATACACTATATGCTCACTGATTATATACGATAGATAACTACAGGACTCAGTCAGAACAGTCACATGCAAAACGGGGCGCGACTTAAGGTCTTGAAGTCTCGTGAGGAGCACATCCGCAATGTGTCCGAAGAAGCGCGACATAAGCTCCTCGAAGTGACCAAAGATCACAACTTGTATCAGAAGGTTCTTCAGAAACTTATCTCTCAGGTCTAACATTGCTTTGCACTACGAATTGAATGTTGTATTCAATGATATGTTTGGTAACCAAAGGGTTTGTTTCAACTCTTGGAGAAACAAGTGATCATTCGTTGTCGCCAACAAGACATCCGTCTCGTGCAGAATGTGTTGAGTTTATCGGCTCAGGAGTACAAGGAGGCCACCGGTCGGGACGTGGACTTGAAGTTAGACAACGATAACTTCATTGCATCGGACAGGTATGCCAACCATAGACTCAAACTTGACATAACCTTTGACCTTTGGATTCTGTTGTGTACAGTTGTGGTGGAGTGGAACTGATTACAAATAAGGGCAAAACCAAAGTGACAAACACTCTGGAGAGTCGTCTGGAACTGATTAGTCAGCAATTGTTGCCTGAAATGAGAACCGCTCTCTTCGGC